ACCTATAAAAAGTTTATGAAAAAAAATTTTTTTAATGATATATACAGCATGATGTGTACATAGTACATATACTGTTATCTAATGTAGTCTGTATAGTTATAAATTTACCACTAGAAAATACAGTATTTTTCGCTGTTCATCAATAATAACTCATTGATGTACGTCATCATGAATTATTTACGAATTATTACGATCAACAGTAAGTAGGTACAGTCAGGTCTCTATAATCCGAAGGAGATTGGGGAAAGGGGTTAGGTTAAAATTAAGATTTTTTAATTATTAATCGTGTAAAAACTCGTAATTTCAAAAGACAATGAATTTATAAAAATATTTATATAATTATGAGTATAATTATGAACCTTACTATTTAAAATATTGATTTATTATTTTTTTTTTGTACACTGGTTTCTATTGTGGATTGGTATGCCTTGTCCCGCAAACGTCTAAGTAACATTAGTTCTTCGCAGCTTTGATCGTTTTGTTCAGCCCACTGGATGGCCGTATTTAACGCTTTTGTAGCTTCTGAAGCAGATAATTTTGAAGGGGGCAAAAATTCATCATCTTCTTCCTTCTCAATATCTTCTTTGGTCACGGCATGCATGATTTCATCATCAGTTAAAACTTCCTGGTGCTGTATCTCTTCATCGCAGCCCCCYGATGCCCACTGTTGAATTTCATCCTCAGTAATGGCTGTGTTTGGAGCCAACTTGGCTAAAAGTGGGGTAAGGATAATGTTTTCCTCYTGAACTTTAGTGGTTTCGTTCACATCCACCAGTTGTGGACTAAGATTTTTCCATGACATTTTAATCAGATGTGACGAGACAGATAACCAACAGTTAGCCAAGTTAAAAACAACATCTTTAAGATTGATTTTTTTCAAAGCTGCTACCAAGTCAACTCCGTTTTCTCCATTCGCCAAAATATTCATAAGTAAAGTTTTTCGGTAATTCAATTTTATGTTTTGGATAACATTCTGATCCATTGGTTGAATACGAGCAGTTGTATTTGGTGGAAGAAACATCGCAAAAATTTTGCCATCTTCACTGCGAAGTTCATCTGCAGATGGGTGACCTGGGCAGTTATCCAATAGTAATACAGCTTCCATAGSAAAATTGATTGAAGAAAGATGACGACGAACGCTAGGAACAAATTCATTGTTGAACCAATCTAAAAATAAATCTCTTGTTACCCACGCATTCTTCTGCCCTCGGTAGTACACAGGAAGTGTAACCGATTTAAATGCACGAGGCTTTTGAGCCTTTCCTACAACAAGTAAACGAAGTTTATGGTTGCTCGTCGCATTAGCGCAAGGCATAAAAGTGACTCTTTCTTTCATAATCTTTCTATTGGGAGCGGCTTTTTCTGTAGATAACACTAAAGTGTGGTCAGGCAACATTCGCCAAAA